CTGGCGGAGGTCAGGGGTCAAGTCGGGGCTGCCTGCTGGGCGGCCTCGGCGGGGCTGGGGAGGCGAAGACAGGTCAAGAGTTCAGGCTTCTCTGATTCGGGTTAGCCGAGGCCTGGGGATTCTGTGCAGGAAGGAGTGAATCAGGCTGCAGCGCGGCCAAGGAGTTTCCTTAAACACTGCGGAAACACTTCCGGGCTCCCTCGCGTTAACCCTGCCGGTTTCCGGCGCGTAGTTTTTCCCTGTATGGCCATCCTCCCATCCGAATGCTCCTTAGGCTCCTGCTGCAGGTCACAGGTTTAGGGAAGTGTCTGGTGGCACAGGTACAGGATTCACCCCGTCCTGCCCCCTTGGGTGTAGTTTCCTGTGATCAGCGTGTCTGTTTACTTTTATTGGGGATTCTGTTCTTATTCTGGTTGATTCCTTACTTGAACGGGAAGCAGTCTACTGGACTGTCAGTATGCGTGTGAATATCTAGATGTGACAGCTGTTTCTGCTTTGTTTGTCTTTCATTGTGTGGTTGGAGGTTTTGTGTTTAAGCTTTTTCAACTTTTTTATTCGTTTGTTTTCTTTCCTGTTCCTACCCCAGCCAGAATTTTATGTCCTTGTGGAATTTTGTCACAAAACATAATTTTCCTTTTTTTTGGGGGGGGGTCCCATCTGTGTAGTTCAGGCTGTCCTTGATTCACTATGAAGCCCAGCCTGGCCTAGAATTCATGGCAGTCCTCCTGCTTCAGCCTCCCAAGTGGTGGGATTACGGGCATGATTTGATTTGCTTTTATTTTTTATGAAATAGGAGATTTTCTTACTATTGTGGGAAGTGATTTGGGTATAGGTAAAAGTTTCAAAAAGCTGGAGTAAGCTGGGTGTGGTGGTGCATGCTGTAATTCTAGCCCTGGGGAGGCTGAGACAGGAAGAATGCCAGTTCAAGACCTGGGTTACATAGTAAGTTCAAGGCCAGTTTGAGCTATTCAGTGAGATCCTGACTCCAAAAACCAACCAATCAACCAGCCAAAAAAGTTGGAGTAAATAATGAATTATTATGGATATTGGTAAATGTGATTGATTTCTCACTGCTGGTTTCCTCCCCTTCTATTTAGGTGTGATTCCCCTCATTACGGCGGCACCGTGGAAGTGCAGACTTTCACAGGGGGTGTGGTCTCAGCTCACACAGGTGAGGGTTCACACACCATTTTGTGTACTGATGCTAGTGGGAGAAAATAAAAGAACGAGACTAATTGTAGGTCAGTACTTGTGGAGTTTTGCTTTGAAGAACTACAGTGATACCTTGGTTGTTGAGCTTAGTTTATTATAAATTTGTGTTTGAACACTGAAGAGTTCAAGAGCTGAACATACTTTTCCCATATGAAATAATGAGAAACCAAATAATTGGTTCTGAGGCCCAAAAATTACACTTATAAATTCATTTTTCCAGTACTTTAACAGATTTTGAAGTTGTTTTTTTTTTAAGATTCTGGTGGTTCTCAGTTTTCCTTAGCTTTACTGGGGTATCAGTAACTTTCTTTGGAGCCATGGTTATAATATTTTACACAAAACCACAAAAAAGCACAGTGACACATTTTAATGCACTAACACAAGCTCTGTATCCTCTAGGTGAGAGTGGTGCTTAGGCTGATGTGTCATTCCTTTGAGTATGCAGGGAGACTGACCCACTCTCGTCCTGTACAGGCTTTTTTTGGGGGGGTACTGGGGATCGAACTTGGGACCTTCTGCTTGTGCAGGTTTTTTGTTTTGTTTTGTTTTGTTTTCTTTTTGATTTTTTGAGACAGGGTCTCACTATGTAGTTGAGACTGACCTGGAACTCACTTAGGCTGATGTGTCATTCCTTTGAGTATGCAGGGAGACTGACCCACTCTCGTCCTGTACAGGCTTTTTTTGGGGGGGTACTGGGGATCGAACTTGGGACCTTCTGCTTGTGCAGGTTTTTTGTTTTGTTTTGTTTTGTTTTCTTTTTGATTTTTTGAGACAGGGTCTCACTATGTAGTTGAGACTGACCTGGAACTCACTATGTATACCCCATTTTTTGTTTTGTTTTGTTTTGTTTTCTTTTTGATTTTTTGAGACAGGGTCTCACTATGTAGTTGAGACTGACCTGGAACTCACTATGTAGCCCAGGCTGGTCTCGAACTCACAGTGATCCTCCTGCCTCAGCCTCCTGAGTGCTGGGAATGCAGGTGTGCGCCACCACACCTGGCTCTGTCTCTTAAACGTCAGGGATTATAGGAGTGAGTCACTATGGCTGGTGCATGTAAGGTCCCCCCCACACACACTGGGGACCAAACTCAGGACTTTTTACTTAACCAGGCAGGCACGGTGCCACTCAGCTACATCCCTGGCCATATGTGGTGTTTTTAGTTAGTGATGGATTGAACCCATAGTTGCTTTACCATTGAGCTGTATCCTTAGCACTTTTTTATTTTTATTGTTTGTTGCTCTTTTTTAGTCAAGGCCGCCTTACGTAGTTCAGGCCCACCTTGAACTTACAGCAGTCTCTCCTGGTTTAACCTCTCAAGAGCTGGGAATTCAGGTGTGTGCCACCATGCCTGGCTTATTTTTATTTTTGTGTTTTGAGACAGTCTTCCTAAATTTCCCAAGTGGGACTTGATTTTGTTCATCTTCTTTCCCTGCATTCTAGCATTATAGGTGTATACCATTGTGCCTGGCTACCAAGTGAACATTTTTTATGGTGTGAAATGTATCTGGTTCATAAGTAGAGATAGGAATTTTAGAACACATCAAACAAGTATTTACTTGAAATTTTTTTGTTTGTTTGTTTTTGGTACTGGGGATCAAACTCAGGTCCTTGCTCTTGCAAGGCAAGCAGCGGATCCCCTGAGCTAAATCCCTGGCCTGGACTATTTTTTTTAGCTCTTTTTTTTTTTTTTTTTTTTTTTTTTGGTATGGGGATCGAACTCAGGACCTTGTGCTTGCGAGGTAGGCGGCAGCATCTCTAAGCTAAATCCCCAGCCCTCTTAACATGTTTATTTGATTTAAATTTTTTTTTTTAAAGAATTCTTTAGTCAGGCATGGTGGTGCATATTTGTAATCCCAGCATTTGAGAGGCTGAGTTAGGATTGCTGGGAGTTTAAGACCAGCCTGGATTACACAGGGAGACTGCCCCGACCAAGTTTCAACTTCATTATTTTTCTTTCTACTTTAGGTGCTCCAGAGGCTGGTGGACCTGAGCGGAGGCTGGGACGCCCTGGTGGGCCCCGGGCCCTGGAAGACGGGTCCCGGTGGCCGGTGGCCCAGAATGAGGCCAGCTCCCAGCATGCCCTGCAGCCGGACGCCAGCCCCTCGGCCTGCAACAGTGGTAATAAGGACGCAGTCATTCTTCAGGCATCCATTGAGGAGCCTGGGAGTGGGACCATGCAGAGCAGCCCCTCCCCTGCTCATCCTCAGCTCTCAGTTCTACAGACACAGGTTTGAAATTGGGGAAGATTCCTTTTCTGCTTCCGTTTTGTGAATACAGGGTTTGAGGCAGAAGAAATGTGCTAAATCCTAGCTTCCTGAATAGCTAAGTCTGGAGGATCTTTTGTGTTCAGCTGTACTGACTCTAGTGTAAACACAGGTGAATATTTAAGTTCGATTTGACTTTAGTGTTTTATTGATCTCCAAGAGTTCAGAAGCTTCTTTCCTGAAAAAGGTTGAGGTATTTTTGCAGTATGGGATTTTCTGTTTTGTTTTGTTTTTGTTTTTTTGAGACAAGGTCTCACTGTAGCTGAGACTGACCTGGAACTTACTATGTAGCCCAGGCTAGTCTTGAACTCAGCGATCCTTCTGCCTAGCCTCCCGAGTGCTGGGAATGGGCCACCACGCCCTGCTTTTTTTTTTGGATATTTGGGATTGAACTGGGCCCTTGCATTTGCAAGCTTGAAAGGCAGGTGGCGAAACCGATGAGCTAAATCCCCGGCCCTTGCACAGTATGTTTTTTTGTTTGTTTGTTTTGTTTTTGGTACTGGGGATCAAACTTGGGTCCTTGCACTTGGAAGGCAGGCAGTGGAACCACTGAGCTAAATCCCCGACTTTGTGCAATTGGC